TTTGTCAATCAAATTTTGAACAAACCTAGTATGCATGATTCACATGAATAAAGCCGATATTATTAGTTATAATAATTAAACTCTACAAGAATATTGGTACGATTAAAGTTGAATGTGTTATGGCCGGCTTTCATATATTCTAAGCAGTGTGCAATAAAATTTGGCATCAATTTGCCGTCCCTTTGCGTTATTTCACTTTACGGGGTCGAAAGTATATAAGGGTAGAAGTCGTTTGTAAAGCTTATTCGCACCAGCAATAAGATGTGAAGTCCTCCATTCGAACCGCATAATTGTGTATGGAACTGAATACGACTATTAGGCACGCAGTTTGTTAGAAAATTAGCAGAAGGATTAGTTTCAGCATGTGAACTTGAATTATGAATTCTACTCGGGCAGTTGCACTTTGCAATGCATAGTATTATGCATTTAATAATTCTTGGAGGCAAGAAGTTGTGACGTTATGATGAGCTTATAGAATACCTAATGCATTTTTAAATATCGATCGAGTAAACTTGAACATTTACAATTTAAACAACAAACTCTAACGTAAATTATCACATCAAAAGGCTTTGTTTCTTAGATTACACCATGCTTATCATTAAGGTCAATGGACATGGTTATTCATATGATGTTTATTTTCAGCCTGATCGTTTATACGGACCATATACGTTGATGCGCCGTAGGGAAAGGACATAGCTTCGAAATGGCCACACTGCTTTGCGGGTACGTCCTTTTATAACATCATCTTCATTCTTAGAAGGTCGCTCAGAAATATTTATCGCGGTCGCATCGCGGATTTTTTTCTACTGAATTCATTTCGTATTTATTTTTTTGCTCCAGGGTGGATGCTGCGCTAAGTTAAAGAGAAATACAGTACGATGATAATAAGGACTATTCACAATGTCTATCTTAAAGGCATCGATGACGTTGACTGAAATTATATGTTACTAGCATAGAATTAAATGCCTATTTAGGTGAACAGAGGAAACGCAAAGAATTATGTAAATGAGAGCACGTAGATTATTGTAGATATGCAATGGAGTTATTTCCCGCATATGCATAATTTTAAACGTTCGTTGAGCCTTTTGACGGTATATGTAAATAAGTTACATAATTCTATCTCACCAATTGCCAATCTCTAAAATAAGAAATTAACTTTGCAATAACAAGTTGCAGGAATGTAAGTTTTAAACAAGATATTTCCCTTTTTTATATTTAGTTTTGTTTGTTTATCAGATTGTTGATAGCTGCGGGTTACGACGCGTATGTGGCCTCCGGATACGCGACAAGGGAAGTTTGCCTGAATCAACAGACGCGCGTAGATTGTCCAGTGCAACCGGAAAAAGAAGAGGTACTTTACCAAATCACGTATCTGTATAATGTATTCAACAAGCTTTCCGAAAGTTCTTTCCAATTTATGTTTTGAATAAATGTTAAAATGAAACGTGCACTGGCGGCCTTTTTTATATCTTTATAAGGATGCTTTGAAAATATACTTTTTTAATCTTTGTGTAACCTTAATGTAGATAACGAATGAATAAAGATAATGTTAAAATATATGCACCTCCTTGATTAAAAAGTGACGATGCAATGGTAAATTAGGAAGGTTCATGCTTATGAAAATATGGATTGTAAATTAATAATTGAATAGATGTATGTAATTTTATGTTAATAATCAAATTTTGCAAAAGACAATCCATTCTTAAAGTAACTGTTACTAATAGTTTCAAAGTGACGACGAAGAGGTGACGAAAGATAGAATTGCACTCTATCGCTTCTATGTCAAAACATTCATTCAGTAAAGACTAGCACCGCTGGAAACAAAAATAAAGTTGTATATTTAAAAATGTCTTGTTAATTGTTATTTAGACAACATAGGGGGCGTCTATTAATCACGAAAGATTTTTTTGGGGAGGGGGGGTTTGACAAAAAATCATGAATTATCACGTGGGAGAGGGAGGGGTATAGTAAGATATCACGTGTATTTATTTTTTAACAGTTTTGTTTAAATCAAACATTTTCAAAAAAAAAATTACTTCATTAAAAAATTTACAGTTTTTTCACATAACTCAAAATACACGTGATGTTTGGTGGGGAAGGGGGGGTAATTTTGAATATCACCATGTATCACCAAAGGGGAGGGGGGGTCCAAAATCCTTAAAAACTCGCTCACATGATTAATGGACGCCCCCATAAATGACTATTTTAATTAATTTGAATATATTTAACAGGATGATAAAAATAATATGGAAGAAGTAAAGACTTGCAAATACGAAGTAAGGGGTCGTAGAGATTTGCGTAGCAAATTTTTACTAGCTCAAGAGCAAAAGGAAAAAGACAAGGAACAAGCCATTATACAAGAACGAGAAGAAAAAAAAGATTAGCAAAAGAAGTAATAAATTAATTATAGCACCACATTTAATAGAAAAATAAATTTGATCCCATTGTTGCAAATAAAATTAATGCTACACTCACAATATATAAAGATATTATATTATGTTTTATAGGCTGAAGAGCGTCCGCCGGCAGATCCTTTGGCAGGTCTTAGAATCCATAGCTGGGTGGTCGTACTTGGATTAGTCACTGATCCAGTAAAACAACTAGATTTATCAGATGGTTCTCCCTCCGTAACATCACATGTTTCACAAGTACCAAAAGAACCAGCGGAAGGTAAAGAGTAAAGAGTTTGTGGAAGTTAATGGAAAGACTATTACGAAATTATAATATTTTTCGTTTAAGGGGCTATTGTCATGCCATCGGTACTTGCGGATCCATTCGTTGCAGACACCCTTGCAGCAAATCGACGATCAAGTTTGAAGCGGGTTAGTTTAAGCGTTCCGGGCGCATCGGACAGCGATGGTAGTCCCCGTTCCGGAGCAAGACAGAGCCGAGCTAGCGGTGACTTAGTTGAAGATGAAGCCGAAAGCGAAGAGAGATCGACAGATAGAAAGGTAATTTTGTCAGTATTTTATAATTTAATTCTAATAAATTTCTATTATTTACGTACTAACTACTATATTAAAAATAAAACTGTTCAAGAATTTTTTATCATTCTAATTGTATTAGTATTATTATTATTAGCAAACGCATGTGCAAGTAATCGAACCAGTAGTTGAGGAAGAACAGACAACAGTTGCAGATGAAGAAAACTTTAGAAGAGCAGGCAGAGGAAGAAGAGGAACAAGAGGAAGAGCAGGAACCAGAAGAAATTGAAGAACCTGAAATATTTCATATTTTGTAGAGCCTGCCACGGGACTGAAATATCCTATTGAAAGTGAACTTTTTCTTGGTTTAGAAGCTATGTGGAATCATCACAATTACTGGGTAATAGAGATTAAGTCATATGTATTATTTTAATTAAAATATAATTATATTGTTGAGCAGTGAATAATTATCAATTTTATAGGTAAATCTTCAAGATTGTCGAGAAGGAGCAGGTTGTTTATCATTTACAATGAACGACACTTCACAATGGGAACATCTTTTACCTGGCGAGCCACTACATATGAGAGTTCTTCCAGAAATTGGCGAAGAAGAACAAATTGATATCAGACAACAAGAAAAACATTAGATATGCCAGATTCTTGGGTTGAAAAATTGGTACTGACGATGACGAAGGTAATATATATTATAAAATTGTGATAAAATTTCTAGAGAATGACTATGTAGCAAAATTTCCTAATATTATATTGATATTACAGATTACGAACAAAGGTATCCAGGTGGTGGTAAAAACCATACACTATAAACGGGCAATAATAAACAATACTCCCCATATTTCAAAGAAAATGGTAAGCATAATGTAATCCATGATATAAAAATGCAATGTGGTATAGCTCCAGTAAATAAATATTGTAGGTATGATAATGAGTCTCTTTCTTTATTCCGATCTCGAATATCAAAACTGTCTTTCTGAATGCGCATGGTATGAAAACCGTGCAGATAAATTACGTTATACCACAAAGAATGATAAAACTTTATTATGCACTCAAAAATTTCATCGTGGGCGAGGAGATGCTTTACAAAGTAAGTTATGAACACAACTCATAATATTACTAAATATAATGATAGGAAATTAAGCATTTTCTAAGTTATTTGGTAATTATGACTATCTATTTTAATTATGCATTTGATGTAACTGCCTTAAATATTTTTTATATACTCTGATCAGACGTTTTTCCAGAATTTGCAATACAAATAATAATGAAGATATTCTGAATTTTGTATCTGCACTAATTTTAGCTTATAAGTATTATGAGTCAGTGAATGATCCTCGTGACAAAGATCTACAAATGGATTTTTACTGGCAAGCAAGAGTTGATGGTTTGCGCTGTTTAGAAGCAGATCCATTATATTTGCGAGAACACGTTATGGAACGTCAAAATAAGTAATTTATGAAAAAATAATTTTTTATCGAAAATTATTCTTAATAAAATATAATTTTAGATTATATTTTCGCGAAGCAGTATTTTCTCCGAAAGAAAATCCAGTGTCTGAAAAAGTAGAAGATGATCGCAGAACAATTACGGTTTGACTTTGCTAGTAAATAAAAATAATAGAAACTATTTAATTAGTCAATTTATATTTATAGACCATCACCGAGAAATATTATCGTCTACCCAATATGCTTCCATCAGAATGCATAGCCACTAAAATTTTTTTATTGTCTAAGGATGAAATAGAATTAATATATCACTATGACGAAAACTGTGCAACTGCGAATAGACGACATTTTATAAAACCTTTGATAGCCGATGTAGGGGAAAAATTATTATGGAATCCTGACCTAACTTCTGGATACTGTGTGAGTTTGTAATGATTTCACTGAACGAAAATATTATTAACAATGAATAATATGAATTTCATTTCTCAGTGGAATCCGAATTATAGAAAATTTAAACAACTAGAATTATTTGAATTATTGAAAGAACAATTGAAAGCGGAAGAAGAAACGATAAAATGTGTACGTCGTGCTGAGAATTTAGTAGATCGTTTAGTACAGTTGAGAATATCAGAACATAATGCACCAAGTTTAACAGTTGGGCTATTCGATAGAAAGCGCAATCAAGATTTGCTCAATGAATACTTACAAAAGGTAAAAAAAATCAATTGAATTCGCTATTAACATTATAATGTATATTCAAATTAATACTGTGTGCAGAAACAAGAAATGTTGGAGCAAAGTCTTAGAGAGGTTGAGTCGTCGTACGATTTACTGGGACCTACTTTAGCTATTGCTGGAATCATGTCGAAATTTAATTATACTGACATAACTCCTCAGCAAGCCGAAAATCTTAAGACAAATTGCCTTGCTGAGTACCAAGAACGTATGCTCAATCGCGCCAATAATATGCAAGCACAATACGATGCGGTGAGTAATTTTAATAATACAAAATGATAATATAAATGATAAAAGTTTAATAAATATAACTATGTATCTTGGTTTCAATACCTAGTAAAACAAATACAACTATATAGGTTTGAATATTTTCTTTAAATATAACTAATTCAATTTTTAAGTGATAACAAAGTTCATAAATTTTTATCATTTTTAATTGCAAATCGCATATTTTACAATTCATTCTACTTAAAAAATTTAGCTCGCCGAAGAAATTAAAGCAAAACGAGCACGATATTCGTTGAATATTAATGAAATGACCAAAGAAGAGGAAGCTGCATACTTCAAAGAATGGTAACTTATTTCATATATTTTTTTATTAATCATAAATTTTCTAACAATGTTTGCAATTCTCAGTGGTACAATGGCATTTCGCTTGCATGTGCTAGAATTAAGGTTAGGAGACCATGCACGTAAATCTGCAGAAGGATACGCTAAGCTTAAAGAATGGCTTAATAATGATAGTCGTTTGAAACCAGATGATGGAAAAAATTCAGAAGTTTTAAAAATAATACCAGAATCTAAATAACATAGAAGAAGTGCGATTATATATAAGTGTGCAAATTTTCATCAAGTTAAGTTTTTAGTGGTTATATTTTTGTTAATATTATTCTATAGTAAATGTTGCTCAAATCTTGTTATACCAAATTTTTCTGTTGAATCTGTTCGTTTATTAATCTAACTTTAATATTCATTACCTATAATAAAATTGATTATATATTTTAGCAAATTTATTATTTATAAAATTAAAAATTACGACCCTTTTTGTCGTTTGTAACTTTATTAGCTGCAGAATACAATACTGTAATATTCATGTAGTACTGTAGTATTCATTCATGTGTATACAATATTGTAATATTCATAAAGTTCTTCTATAGTACATTTAATTAAATTAAATTTAACAAAAAAATTCGTAACAAACCATGATGATAATGATTATTTGTAAAATTATAACCGAAACGTTTTTCGTTTATAACTTCTTGTATATTGATATTAAACACGTAGTTTTTCATCCAATTTTCTATTATATTTTTAATTAATATTTGAATCAATGATGATTTAATTCCTATTATCTGTTTACTTCCATACTGATTTTCTATTTGAATAATTGTGCGTTGTATGTTATCTGACATATATTGAGCGTATTTTATCTACATTGATAATTCAATTTGGAAATGCCATCAGAACTATAGTACTATGTACAAAACAAATATACTATAATTAACGTAATTAATTTGAGAGATAGCATAAACTATAAGTGCACAAACTTGTTTTCAATTACGGCCTTAATTGAAAATATTATAATCAGATTTTATAAATAATTTATTCAAACTAAGTTACTCAAATTAGCTTGAAACTGCCTATCGAACCGATATCAAATTGAATAAAAATCAATATTTAAATTTGTCTTTTCCATAGAAGAAAATTTTTATATTTCAATTTAAGATACAATTGCAAAAACAAACAAACTTTTGGCCACAGATGTTATACTGTGTTTTTTCTTTTATTATTTTTTACTTACGTAGCATTTAACAGCGATCAGTTAAGTGTTCTATATATGCTGTTGCATTTAAGTTATTATTATAGAAGACAACCCAATGATTTTTCTATTTGTGATTAATTTATTTATTATGATCATATTTTTAAATCCTTGCAGCCCCGAAATGATAGAAAGTTTTACTTGAAATTATATTCAGATCTATATTTTTAAGTGAAAACTGATATCACTACTGCTTGCGAAGATAGCAGGATTTCCGAAAAACAATAAAACTCAAGACTTTGTAAAAATCAGTCTATACTATAATTTATTATTTTTACCGATTTTATAATATTAAATAATTATAAAAACTAAAACTTTGAAAATATATTTAGTTTACCTGCGCATCAGACTTATTAATTGCAATATGTTAGTGACATCACCAATACCGATAAAAAGTATAGATAAATGAAAGCTCTATTGAATTAATGCATTGTCTAGAATAATTGCGACATGACATTCAATTTAGAAAGCTTATTCAAAGTCGAAATTAGCTTTAACAAAGTTAATAATTTTGACGCTACGGTGTTAAAAACAAGCAATCGATTAAGACTTAATATGATAGTAATGAAATTTCAATGTGTTAATAAAAAGTTAAGTATTTTTCAGTATGTGGAAAGGCAATATTTTGAAATTATTTCATATATATTACCTATTAATTAAGAATCCGGCAAGTAATTGATATAAAGCATAAACTGTGTAAGATAAACTTCTAAAATATTAGATTATAAATCAAAAATAATATACATGTAGTATTATATCTAATATGGATTGTAAGGATTGAAATATAAGTTCAACAATGGAACCTGAAAAAGAAGTTCAGTTAACTTTGTATAAGACGCTAGTGCCAATTTTGGGATCCGTCATAATTACTCTAAATTTTGCAGTCGTTATATCTAGTGGATTAATTTTGAAAAGAGGTACGCACTGCCACAATTATAATATACAAATATTTATTAAATTATAGTAATTTAGTATTGTGATCCAATCTATTTACATTTTAAGTACTTTTCAAACAGGCCATCAACCGCGCAGTACATACATGTTACTTGGAAATGTCGCAGTTGCAGACTTAATAACAGGAATTGCTGTAATTTTTGGTGCTGTGAATCCAAAAGATGGAAGAAATGAATTGTCTTGCTCTATTCAAATAGGTAAATTGAATTCAAATAATTAACCATTTTTTCATTTTTTATATCATCAATTAATTCAAAACCAAAGTATAAATGAAATATACGCAACAACAAAAGCACATTTACACCGTTAATTATTTTAAAGGAATGATTGTATCAAGTACTTTGGCTTCTATTTTATCTGTCGGTCTAATTGCTATAGATCGATTTCTTTATATATTACATGGCCTGAACTACCAGCACTGGGTATACCCAAATAGGGTTCGATTGGGAATTGCAGTTGTTTGGATTGTGGGTAAGGGTGAACTTATTACTTTGATAATTTGGCTTAAAATCTCAATAGTTTCTTAACCGAGAAAAATAATTTACCGGCCATAATTTAACGAAGTATTTTAATTTATTTTCATAGCAATAGTAGTAGGATTTTTGCCTACAATGGGTTGGAAAGGTTCTACAGAAGAAGGCCGTATATGCTGGTTCATTAAATTAGCACCTGATCCTCTAATATTATTGACAGCGTCTCTTGGAGCAATGCCTATTATATTGGTTATCGTGCTGTATTCAATAATACTTCATCAAGCTCTTCGAAAGGTATAGATCAAAATCGTAAACTGTAACATCAACTTCTAAAATATTAAACTATATCAAAAATAGTATGTTTCATATCTAATATAGATTGTGAGGACAGAGGACATAATACATATTATACTTAAATTTCTGCAGGTGATACAATTAAGAGAAGCTTCCACTCAACCTATAAGTCATGCTCAAATTGTATCGGAACCAGCTCTATCAGGTTTACGGTTATTTAGAGGATCCACAGTCATCATCAGCCCAAAAGAAGATAACACATTATCTGAAGTTGTATCAGGAAATAAATTTTTGAGATTTTTCAGAAGTGCTAACGCTGTTGGACGGGTTGAGCGCCTGAGCAAAATGAAGGCGATCAGGGTAGTCATGTTAACTACTGGAAGTTTCACAGTGACTTGGATGCCTTACTTTATAGCATGCGCTATGTATGTGAATTGTGATCGAGATATTTCAGAACAGGTTGGATGTTGTCAATTTAACTTATAAATATAATCTTTAAATGGTTGTAATGGTTTTTATCTTTACATTTCAGACGATTTTCTGCAAAAATTTAAGTGTAGCAATTGCTAGTCCTTTAGCATTGTTGGGTTTCGTCAATAGTCTCCTGAATCCGCTTATTTATGCATGGTGGCACCGTGGATTTCGCAGAGCTTTGTGCAGGACTCCAAATAACAGAAATCCTGGCAGTAGGTACAATAACAGAAATGTTCAAAACTACCGATCAATAATTGACAATCTAGTCATAAATGAAACAAGGATAACGTGTACAAGTTGTCAGTCAATCGCATCTTAACAATCGTACAGTGAGTAATTGCTTGTATATATAGTGATTTAACATTGAAAAATATATTGTTTTGTTTGTAAGGATTAAAACTTTATATTACAATTTTGTGAAGAAATGAATTATTTTATTTTATTAAATTGTTTTAATTTCAGCCCATTATTGTTTTTAATCTGTATGAACGTTATATTATATTTTATTGATTTTTATAAGTTCACTATTGTGAAAGATGTCTCATTATAGAATATGTAAATAATAAATTAAAGTTACCAATGACTCCAAATTGTAACTTTACCAGCATTGTATTAATTAATAATAAATCAATTTTTATTTTATCAATTATTTCCTTCCCTTTGACAAAAGTTTATCGAAAGATTGGTTTTAATCGAATCAAAATTGCTGATGTGACTCGATGAAATAATTGAAACCTTTCCATTTAATCGAGATGAGAACATATTTTATATACGTAAATGATATGGAAGAAGGTGTTATAAATTTTCAATACACAATAAATATATGTTGACTCATTTAATTGTCTACATGTAAAACGAACTCATCGAGGTTTTGTAGATTTGAATTAAGCTTTAATAGTGAGAGTTTCGATCAGTTAGCATGTTGAGTGCTCTTTAATAATAACTGTTGAAAGAAGTAAAAAATGTCTGGAACAAAATGAACACTCAATAATATGTGAATACCATAATGAATTTGTTTTACTCGTTCAACTTAACGTCTCAACCAAATTGTTCTGTGAATAGCATTTACTCCGGTGAATTATAATTTATATTAATTCTTTAGATCAAAATTAATTTCAAATTCATTATTTTGAAAATGTAGAAAAAAAGTATGTGCATTAAATATCACTATGGAGAAAATACATCAAATTTAAAACAGATATTAGCAAATCTTAACTGAATTTTAACCAAAGTTGACCCATATACCATTTAAAGGTACTTGTCACTACATGAGAGATACATTTATACTATTTAATTCATAAAAGTGTCCCAATGAACTGATTTATGAACAACTACAATAAATACATTGAGATATATATGTCCTGAAATAATTTATTTAAAATGATTTTCTTGGCTATCAAGCATCACTTGCTCGATAATTTCATAATTAATGTGTGGCTAATATTTATTGAGTTATTTATAACATTAATAATTTATTGGCACACTCTTCACATAACTTTTAGTATTATTCGAGAACTTTTCCACAAACATCTGCCAAAGAAGATTGGAGATTACAACAAGTCGAACTGTATTAGATTCATTTTGCTATAATTGGAAAACAATGAATTAATAAATATAAATTTAATAAAGTAAAATGTAAACATAAATGTTAACTTTAGCAGATATTTGTGAGTAAAATATTAATTATTAACGAGTTAATAAATAATTCACTAAAATATATACAGACTGTATTTGTTGTGATTATTTGATTACATTTTTATAATGTAACTTGCTAATTCGTATAATTTGTAACTTGTATAATGAAAACTGTATATGATTTTAAGAAGTAATTTTTAACTCATCTTATAATAAAATTACATTTGACTCACATTGAGGAAGTACTATTTTTGTGGCTCCTAACTGAATGCCCAAACATGAAATGTATTTGAATCACTACTTTAACTTATTAGAATTCTAAGTCCTCTAAATTAACTCCAGTAGCACACGCACATAATTCATATATATTTATAACATTAGAATCACCGTACAAATTTATTATAACAAATTGTAAAAAAAAATAGATTTAACCACTCAGTGAGAGATAATTATCATTACAACAAATTGAATGCAAATAAAGAATTAAATCAAATTGAAAATATAAATAAAATTTTAAATAATTACTGAAACACGTGCGGTTGGGTACGTCAGAGACTGTCAAAAAGTCAAAAAGAAGAAGTAGAAGAGCGCGAATTTCAAACATGTAAAAAAATCTAAAACACTTACTATTATTATTATTATTTGATCAAAGTAATTTTATATGACTACGTTGCATATGTATTTTATATCACATCATATATGTCTTCATTGAAAAAAACTGATAAAGGCCTGATGATTTGATTTGAGAATTTATTAAATTAAAATAAAAAAAAAGATTGATATTTTGATCATAGAAGCAACTCAAAACACGCAAGCATTTTTCTGATAAAATACTGATACATGTACCAATACCAAATAATAGGATGGAAAGGCTAAATACCATATTTTATTACTAGTTAACCAAGTTTTCTTCCTTGAATCACCATATTTACAATCTAATTCACAGTAAGACTTTAAAAAAGTAAATTACAAAAAGAACTCAATTCAATTCTACTTTAATTTTTTCATTGTTGACAAATAGGTACAAAACAGTATTATTTCGAATAATGCGCTGTATAAGATTCTTCATTTACTGGTTAACCACAAAGTAATCTAAGTCACTTTGTTACAATCATAATATTTACAATTTGTGTCAAGAAAAATAAATATAATATTAGTTTAAAATACTTAAATCTTTAATTATTACTTTAAAACTACCTGTGAAGCATTTAGAACAATGCATGCTAGGATTTAGATTTAATTGTACTACAACTTATAAAATAAATTTTAATTTAAATTTACCTAACAAATTAATTTTTATAAAACGTAAAAAATTTCTAAAAACTTATTGCAATTATATTTATGTTTGGTAAATAAATATAATTTACAATAAATCTATGTTCAAAATAACTAAGTAAAAGCGGAAATTAAAAATAATCCCTCAAAATCATGATCGTTTGATGCCCAATAATAAAAATTATTATTTTTAATCAGTCAATTTACTTTTTTTTAAATAACTTGCAGCTGCGCTTGCTTTAATTGTAGGACTATTTTTCCATTTAGAATCTTGTTGCTTGGTGGGGGTATTTTTTAGATTTTTCTTTTTACGTTCTTTTAAAGTCTCTTCTATTGAATTATTTATGTCATCTGCTGAATCATCTGCATAACGCTTGGATCTTGAGTTTATTCTAGGTGATTGTCTAACCCTATGCTCAGTTAAAATAGTTTCGGAATTGTTTTTTTCATCTTCAGAATCTGATTCAGATTTCTGAGTTTTTACCGTGGTTTTGGTCTTCTTAACTTCACCTAAATTTATAAAAATGCCACAACATATTATTTAAAATACATACAGAACTCAAATTGAACATTTAGGTTATTCATGACATACCCGTTTTAATGTTTTTCTTCTTTATTATTATTTCTACATCCTCATCTTCACAAATTGAATATTCCAGAATATTTGTTTTCTTCAAAGCGGCTAATCTATTGCCACTAGTCTTTTTAGTCAGAGAATTATTATAATCAATATTTTCTATCGATGTTTTTGAAACTTTAGGGGAGCTACTATTCACTACAGGACTTGCTACTTTTCTAACTCTACTTGTGCTACTAGTTTTTTTGGGACTTTTCTTCAGCTTTTTAGTTAAGCTTGATGATTTATCTAATTCATCTTGCGATATAACATTTTTAATGGAACGCTTTGGACTCGCTGATTCATTACTGTTGCTGGCAGTGCCAAAATCGAATTTACCATTTTGTGATTTACCAATAGATAACAAAGCGCTTTGAAATACTGCACGTATTTTTTTATAAGATGGTTCAGCATTATTACTCAGTGACATGATCATTTTTGTAAACTCAGCCAGATATTCTGAAACATAATCGTAAGTCCTTGTATCAAATATTAAACATTAAAAGACTTATTTCATAGATACTTATTACTTTACTTCATGATTTGTTAACCTCAATTAAAATCAAATATATTCATGTTTAGTTTTCAAATAATCCATTTACTTACTTGGAGCTTCCTTTTTGACAAAACATTTTTTCAGGAATTGATTCACATCTTTACCAGCTTCTTCTTTAAGAGCTTGAACTCCAACAGGGCTAGATAAATTTTTGTCCCAAGGTAGAGTACCACCAGCCCAATGAATTAAATTGTAAACCAATATCTCAAAATCTCCTCTACGTGTTGGAACTAAAATAATTTTTTTTGAAATCAATATCAACATATAATAAACGTTATTAAATTTATTGACTATTTACTTATTAAATTGCATTTTGCATATTGACCTACCTCCCAAATGAGCATCTCGGCTAGTATACTCAATAGTACCATTATGCATCTTCTTTGGATCAGGTTTGAAATCTTGTGTGTTGAAGCGACAAGCTAATCCAAAATCCACTAGATAAGCTTGATCCATTGTTGAATTTAATAATATATTTGCAGCTTTTATATCAGCATGAACATATGCTCTAGAATGAATATATTCCAATACGTCTGTCTTCAAAAACACATTCTCATTAATATTAATTAACAAACAAATATATCTTTTCAAAAATTATTTTTTACCATTTGCAAAGCTAATTTTAAAATAGTGTAATCAGAAAAACTGCCTAACTTTTTGAAATAGCTTTGTAGATCACTGGTAAATCTCTGCATTACAAGGAACCGATACTTGTTTTTGTTTGGAAGAGTATGCGATCCTGATGTTATATATTCAGGCATTCCCAATTTATTTATTTTATGAGCTTTGCTAAATTCCATAACTGTTTATAACACAAATTATATTGTTCAAATAATGTTGTTTGCAAAGATAAAAACTAAGTCTGTAAATACTCATGCAATCAAACTTACTATCATCTCTTTTGGCATTCCTCATATAAAAGTGCATTTCAACAAAAAGTGGTCCATTATCATGAGGTTCCTTTAATTATTAATGATCAAAATTATAAGTATTCTAGAAAGATTTCATAAAAAGCAAGAAACTTACAATTTTCACTACGTATGGGTATTTGTCAACATGTACTTTTGAATCTTTCTCACAAGCTGTGTAAATTTCCCCGAAGCCACCTTTTCCTATTGAGGGGCCCACTTTCCACTGTCGTTTATGAATATCAGTTAAAACTTCACCCAAAGGTATGGGCTCAGGCATCACAAAACCTTTTTTACCCTTTGCAGCAGGCTTTTTAATGTTAGACATTTTGTTATACAAAGAATAAGTACGTCTAATGAAGAAAAATAGAAGTCATGGTAATATAAATTAGAAATTATACATTATATAATATAAATATAAGATATTATAAAGTTTGAGCTTTTACAAACAAAATATACTATTTACAAGTAATGCAATACATATGGAATACCTTGTTAGTTGAAAGATTAACTTGAAATATTGTATTTTTAACGATATAAAACTTTATCTAATAAAAATAAAGATATGATTACAGATAACATATGAGATTAAGGAAATTTAAGGTTTTGACATGTTTTTAATATTTTATTTTACCGGCATTTAGTTGGCACAGTGCAACTGAAATAAAGATAGGTATCTCAGTAGTGGAGGGACATGACATCTATTGTGAACTTTGTCCGATTAAACAAATACCAATTTAAATAAAATCAAACTGTTGTATTTTAAATTCTTTAAGAAATAAAATATAAATTATAAACATAATATAATACATATAAATAAAATATTTCTTATTAATGTCAAGTGGCTAGATTTAAAACTGGATGATAGCGATAAAAATACCATAGAAAATAATCACTTACGGAAAAGTAAAAGTATTAGACGAAAGAAATGTAGAAATAAAGTAAAGTAAATTTATAAAATAATAAATAAAAACACATTATAACGCATTGTCTTACTTTTAATTGAAACATTAAAAGTCAATATATTTTTATATTAGTATTGTACTGTATCCATGCATCTTTCCAAGAATTTTATAATGATTTTCAAAATTCCATAATGTAGCTTTTGATTTTTAACTTCCCTTAGGGTAAGTTATTGTAATGGGCCGAAAATCGAAATTGAAAATTTTTACATTTCTCGACGTTTTGAAGGTTTCTGAACATTTTGGCATACCTCAGAAAAAAAGGATGTGTGTGTGTGTGTGAGTGTGTACGTATGCATAGATACAATTTTTCGTCCACGTTTGCGGGCGCACGGATCAACCGATTTCAATGGTTTAAAAAACATTCGATTCCTATTGATAGGGAGATGTGTTGATTAGTTTTTGGCAAAGGCAGGTCCAGCCGATTAGGAGATACGCAGCAAAGAATGCAGAAAATAGAAATAGAGTTTTTGAGAGATCGGAGCATCCGATTTGAATGATCTCAAAAACATTCAATTCGTAATGATGGGGAGAAGGAGTGATTAGTTTTTATCAAAGGCAGGTCCAGCGGTTTCAGAGATACAGAGCTTAATGTGCTAAAAATGACAGTTTTTGAGAGAACTAAGCGTCCGATTTGAGTGATTCCAAAAACTGCTTGTTTTAACAAAATAATTGATTTTGGAAAAAAAAATTTTTGCTTCAAAATATTTAAAAAAAATTTTTTTCTTTTATTTTTTTTCCAAAAAATTTTTTCTTTGTATATTGAAAATAATTCAGATTTTTATTTTAATTCTTTAAACAAATAATTTCAACTTTCCAATTTAGTTTATATAATTCCTATAAATATTCGACAATGTTACAATATTTATAATAATCTATTTTAAATCATTTAATATTCCTTGATCATTTCGTTACGGTACGGGAAGTTCCAGCAATTTGCCTTAAGGCACGATGCCATACATCCCACTGGTTAAGATATATTTTAAAGCATTATGAAATATTAAAAACCATTATGAAATTCTTGCAAAAATGCATGGATAAGAGTACAATATTAAAAATATCGGTAAATTAACTTAAAATATTTTTTGGTGGGTACATGCATAGATAAAAGAAGAGTATGGGTACATAGGATGATTATAATTGTGGGTAGTACATTGGATGTATTCTTTTGTATAAAAGATGGGTATATGAGCATGGGATACAGAATGAGTAGATGAGGTGAGTATGTGTATGAAATAAAAAAAAAGAGATTGGGTACATGTATGACAGTTTTAATAAACACTACAGCTGTATTACAGTTACAGTTGTACACTACAGATTGGCAATGATTATTTACATCAATTCTGTTGTAAACTGTCCATTTAGATCTAATTAAAAACACAAGACATTTTATGTTTTCTGATAAACCTCATTTTGCTCAAGTAGTTATTAATACTCTAAAAGGTGCCCTTTAAAAAAGTAATGTTGAATGAGCCTTTAAAATAATGATACATAAAAAATATCCTTAAACCGTAGAACTATTAGGTTGTCAAATATCTCCCTTCCGCCTTTTTGTATTATAAACCAATAGCAAAAAAGCGGAAGGGAGATATTTGACAACCTGATACATATAGGCGCTACGATAAAAACAAGCTATATTTAAATTCGAAATATTTTAGTACGTAGTATACGCTAATATAATGACTAGAATAAATGAAGCAAATAACAATGGCATCGTTATGATTTCATATGTGCGATTCGTCATAATAGGTGTAGAGGCAGAGGTGTGTATCCTGTGATCAGCTGGTATCTCGACACTCGTGTTATTGCACAACAAGGCGTTCGTATTACCCCGCGCGGTTTATTTATAACATCGGCCTCTTCGAGGCTGGAGCCAGAAATAGGTGGGTTGATTCCGTTCCAGAAGTAGATGAGCAAAATAGGCACCGAAATAGATGCGACTGGCCTGGATCCCATATGGTTCGTCACTATGTCAACCGCATATTAGTAAGCGGTCAGTAGTACGCGCGCATTATTAAACTAGAACAGTTTAACATCAGGAATTATAGTATTAGCGATATGCAACAATAGATCATGTCGGATAATTAAAATTTCAAAATTTCATACTAATATTTCTCATTGAGTTCTTAAGATAAAATAGAGTGCGATCAACAAACTAAGTAGTATGGCAACTAAAACACAGCAATTCTGTTTGCGTTGGAATAATCACCAGGTAAAATATGAAATAGGTACTCAGAATAGGTGAATACGACTATGTAAATATTTCACCTGTGGCTGGAGATATTAATATTTATAAAGCTTTGAGATAAAGCAAGTGTTCAGTTATATTGACCTTGACCCTCTTCAATCTGATGGCGATACACGCGGTTCTAAAATGCAACACTATGATTCAGTGTATCCAATATCAAGAATTATTGAAAATAACTATTGTGAAAAACTTTTACTGGCATTTTTCTTCTAAATTGCAGCTTTTTGGATCATAAGTGGGCAACCAGTAACTTAAAATAGTGTTTCAATTTTTGTCTGCAATTTTTTAAATATACAACATTTTTATTCATTATTATATGTTCTTCACAAGACTGCCCACTTATGCATTGTCGAGGGCGCAAAATTTCAAAAAAATAAATACGTTTTATAAATACTTATTGATTATATAATAATTCATAATATAAATTTGATATATTATAATATGTTATATCTTAATTGTAATAACATGCCTAAAATAAAATAACAGAATTTTTTTTGATAAACACAAATGTTGAAGAATTGGGAAAAATTAATATTTCTATTATTCCATTACAACTTATTTTGAATTCCAGGCATCTTTGGCATCATCCTTACCTGGATTATTGGACTCCTCACGATTTACTGATGTAACCCTCAGTGCAGGAGGTAGAACTGTTAGAGCCCACAGAATTTTACTGGCCTCCTGCAGCGATTTTTTCTCTGAACTTTTTGCAGCATTGGCTCCGTCTGCGCAACCCGTCATTGTTCTACCAGGTGACGGATAACGGATCGGTAAAAAATAATAAAACTCGCGAAAATAGTTTAATTTTTTACAAATAATTCAAATCTAAGAATTGTCATATTCAATATTTTAGATACCCTTAGTTATGTCACCTTGTGTTCAGCTTCCATAAACCAAGCAATCAACGTTACAAATGAATTTATACGTTATAATAAATTTATTTATTTTAAAAAATATTTCAGGTGTTCCATATTCATCCTTATGTGCTCTAATGACTTTTGTGTATTCTGGCGAAGTAACGATATTTGAAGATCAACTTCTATCTATACTCAGTTTAGCTGATGCCTTGGGTATCAAAGGTCTTGCTAATCAACAACAAACTACATCTGTAACCGTAAGTCCTATAAATTATTATACATATATATATATATATATATCTATTTTATTTTAAATATATTGATTTTCCAGCAAGAAAATGTTGAATGCGCTATGGATTACAGTTGCTCTGAACGAACTTCTGAAAAACAAATCTCGCCTGAAACAAAATATAGAACTATTAGACCGCAATCCCCAAATGCAGACGTATCAACCTTATTTCCTCATAATTTTAATGCTTCTGAAACAAACAACAATAATATCAACAATAACATAAGGAATAATTTTGGTTTAGGAAGTAATTCTAATATTTATTCTCCATATACCAATTCGAGTAAACCCATTGAATCAGAAATTTCGAAATCAGAAAATGACGTAGATAGTGTTTTAGATAATGGAAAGGAGCCAAGAAAGATTGATATAATAGCCGAGCTACTGAAGTGCGGAGCTGGAAAAAGAGATCCTATACCTCAGCCGCCAGTTGAACCTCAAGTTAGTAAAAAATAGTTCATCATAATAAATAAATATATATTAACAATTAGCTAATACTTTACGATAGTGTATCTGGTGTGTCCGTGAATTTTTTAATTGGAGGTCGCACATTGTCGATTAGTTACATATATGATATTTAACACCATTCAACACTTTCAGACAAAGTAAATTCATATCTTATCTATTTATCTGTTCGAAATTTATGTTAAAAATTGCTTAATATTTTAATATTTATTATATGCAAGATTATAATTATTATATAGATTTCTACATTAGGAATTGAATCGAGTTCTTCGCTTAGTAGAAAATTAATTTATATCAGTATAAGTCATATAATTGTTATATAGGGCAAAACATACGCAACCTGCTTCATATGCCAAAAACGACTAAGTAACCAGTACAATCTTCGGGTGCACATGGACACACATCGCGATGCTCAGTATGCGTGCCACGTGTGCAGGCACGTGTCCAGGAGTAGAGACGCACTTCGCAAACATGTATCATACAGGTAGATTATATATTGCGATAAAAATATATTTTTATGATTTCCTTTCCGCGAACAAACATTCCCCTTTCTTTAATTTTTTTCATTTATAAATTTTTGTTTATAATTATTTCGAACTTTCAGTTGAATGGGATAAGCATTCTCCAAGAACTGTTAAAACAAACATCTTTCTACATTTCTATACTTTCTAATTAATTAAAAATTAAAAGAATTCAGTTTTTCCTTTAAAATAATAAAATCAATAAAGTTCAGAAAATTAAAATCATAAAATTCATTCATCCATCATTCATTCATCATTTAAAAAAATGAATTAATAATTAATTTTTACCATTAAAATTCTATATAAATTTATTTACTTATTCATTTATTTGTTTGTTTGCTTTTTATTATTCAAGACATCCGGGAGGTGGAACAAGAAATCCAGAATCGAATCAGAGCAGAAAGAGAAATATTATCAAAGGATCTTCAGGAATTTTGCAACAACAACCGTCCATTACCGAAAATTCAGGAGGTGTTTTTCATCCTAGTGGGAGTGTTGGTTTAATTAAAGATAGTTTATAGAGCAAATTAACTGAAAGATTTTGAAGTGAAAAAAGTTTGGAATAGTGAGATAATTTCATTAAATTTTTAAATAGTTCTTCTTATTTATTCAAATTTTATAGTTTATAAATTATTTATAAACTAGGCAATAGCCCAGTTTTATCAAGATAAATTTTAAACAAATTGGTCAAGTGGAAAACATTATTCTCAAAATTCAATTTGATCAGATATATCATGAAAATATAGCGCAAATCTTAGAGAAATTTAATGAAATATGATAATATTCATATTATATACACATTGAAGACATATTCTTAAATAATTTTAAGCACTCTTGTAAAAAATATTTTTACATGAGCAGATACGCTTTAATACAATTCTAGTCGTCATAATAATAATGTAGAAATAATATTTGTTTGAACACAAAAGACTAATAAGTGTTATAGATAATGTTCTTAGTACAATATCTTTGTTGATTAGTGTAAACAGATAAATCAGAATTAGTAACAGTAATAACCTTTGCGATTTTCAGAAATTGACGGAAATGGTTATTGTTAAAGATTAAATATAAATCAGTTAGTGTTCTTCGAATCAATGAATAGAGTCTGATCAACAATTTTCAAAGTAATAATCCATTTACAAACTTTACATTTAATTATCAAAAAGTGAAATAAGACAAAATTAGAAAAAATCCGTTGTACCTTATTACGCTAATTATTTGATGTAAATTTAAGTTAAAATTGTTAGTAATGTAGTAGTTATATTTTTATCTAGAAATTGATAAATTATCAATAAAATTCAGAATTTATTTATATATATATACATATATATATATATACCCTGACATAAAGGTAACATAATACGTCGTTGTGAGAGAACTTAGAAAAGCAATACTCAATTAGTACTATGTACAAAAATTGTGTTGAAATACCTGACACTCTGTGATATTGTTATTCATTAGTTATTGTTAAATAAAATTGTTATCAGCTATACTATTGTTTATCATTTAAGCAAAGATATTCGGTTCAGGAATTTTATTACTCAAATTACATTCGCTTTTGATATGCAGACATATTGTATAAATTATAAACAATATCATTATTCTAAATATAAAATATCATATAAAATTTCAAACTTTCTTATCTATGTTTCTTATAAATTATGCTTTATAGTCATAATAATTTTCCTCGGGCTAAAAATAATATTATCATATAACAGTAAACATATAATTTAAATGCACTTTTAATAAGTTTTAAGTATACATACTACGATGAAATGTTATCAAACATTTTAAAAACCTAAAAATGTGTAATATTTCTTTCGCCTACGTATTTTATTTTAATCAAATAAATATTTTTATCTGTATATCAGGAACTAAAATGTAGATATGACGAATTACTTCATTAATCACTTAAATAAATAATAAAATTACACAAGCTTTGATAAAAAGTACTATAGATAAATTGGAATATGGTTATAATATAGCATACGTAATATAGTATTAAACTTATAATAATTAAGTAGGAATGATAAAAAATTAAGTTATTTCATCTGCAGCCTTATTACAATATGAAACTTATTGCGACTGCAAGCACTTTTTTATGTATCTTCCGACTATAATCTGTGGGCGGTCTTGATATTCCAATAATTGTTGCTTGAATTTCTTATCTGAAATTAATTACCACAGAAAATATTAAAATA